CCAATAAATGTTATTCTTATATGTGCACTTAGGTGTTGATCAATGAAACCAATTTTCTGGTGAGTACGTGTGGTGCTTATTTTTCCATTCTTGGGATACTTCACTTAGTAGAATGGGTTCCAGCTCTAGCCAGGAAAATACAAGAGGTGCTATATCACCATTGTTTCTTATAGCTGAATAGTACTCCATGGTATACATATACCACATTTTATTCATCCACTCATGTATTGATGGGCACTTGGGTTGTTTCTACATCTTTGCAATTGTGAATTGTGCTGCTATAAACATTTGGGTGCAAGTGTCTTTTTTATAGAGGGTCTTTTGTTCTTTTGGGTAGATGCTCAGTAATGGGATTGCTGGATCAAATGGTAGATCTACTTGTATCTCTTTAAGGTATCTCCATATTGCTTTCTACAGAGGTGGCACTAGTTTGCAGTCCCACCAGTCATCTTTAAAAAAAAAAAAAACAGAAACACAATTCTTCTGAGTTTTCAAAATGTTAGAAATTTTTATTCATTTTTGAATTTTGATAGCCCTGGATTTGGGACAGGTGAGAGTGGAATGATGTCTACTCTATTCCTCACTCTCTGAGGATTGAGGTGTTCTTAGGAAAGGAACTAATTGTTTGGTGAGACTAACATCAAATTCCATATGTTCGCATGTATGCTTGCATCCCAGAGCGATGACCAACACAGGGAGTGAGGTAATTTGGGGAACCATTTTGGTTTACAGTGTGGGGCAGGTGTGATCTGAGAAGGTCCTATGGGCAAAAGTCTTTGCTATAGTTACCTGCTGTCCCTACTGCTGCTGTGAATGGCAGTAGCCGAGCTCCTATATAATGCCATCCTTTGAACACAAGTTTCCATCCCCTTTCACCTAATTAAAATATCATCCAGCATTCTTCTCCTTCCTGTACTATTCATTTCTCTTTTTCTCCCAAAAGATTCCCACCAGCAAGGACTGCTATCCTCAAACAAAACAAAACAAACAAAAAAACCCTCTTGACCTCAAATCCCTCTTCAGTTGGGACCCAGATACTAACTGCTTCCCTTGACTGTTAAATTTCTTGATTAGATTGGTCTCTAGTAGTCTACTTCATTTTCTTTCCTCTTTTCTCTCCTCAAATCCATTCAAGTCTGGTTTTGGGCCCATCATTTCACACGCATTGCTCTTGTCATTGTCACCAGTAACTTCAATATTGCCAAAATTCCCTGTGACCAACTTTGAGTCCTCATCTTGATTGACTTAACAGTACTTGATAACAGTTGTTTACCTCCTTGAAAAAGTTCTTTGAATTTGTGTCCAGATCAGCAGTGCTCTGGAATCTTCCATTCTCCTGGCCATTTTTTCCAGCCTTCTTTGCTGACATAGCCATACTTTCTCTCTCCTCCATATACACTCACAAAGTGCCTTTAAATACACATATATTCTGGTGAATCCAAACTTACATCTGTAGTACAATCCTCTAACCTCGATGCCTAAGTGTTGGGCTTCTCTATCCAACTGCCTACTTAATTTTTCCATTAGAATGTCAAATAAGCATCTCAAATTTAAAATAGTTGGATAACCGATCTTCTCCATCTCTCCAGACCTGTTTCTCCTGCAGTCTTTTACATAACAGGAGTTGGTAAGTTCATCCCTATCGTTGCTCAGGCAATGATCCTTGGATTCGTCCTTGATTCCCCTTTTTCCCACTCCTCAAATCAGTCCATCAGCAGAATCTGTCAGCTTTCCTAGAAATATGAATCCAAAATGTTTATCACCTCCACGGAGCCAAGCCCTATAATTCTTGCCTCATTTCCTGCAATAAGTTCCTGACTGATTTTCCTATTTCTTCCTTTGCCCTTTTGACAAGTTGATCCTACACAGCCCCACCCATGGTCCTTCCCTGCTCCCAGCCCCTGGCATACCTTTTTCACTGTCCAGCTGGAACATGTACACATATCTTGTCTTCAGGGGCATTGCCCTTGTCATTTCCTCTGGCGGGGACGCTTTTCTTCCTGTTCATAAGTGTCGAATGTTGAAACCTGTGCTCACATAACCTGCAGCCCCATACCATTCCCCTTCTTTATTTTTCTCTAGAGACTTTACTACCCTTTAGCGTTGTATCTATTTTCTTACCTGTTTTTCATCTGTCTCCTTCCACTGACTGCAGGTCATGGGGGCAGAGATATCTGAGTGTGTGTGTTTTTACTCTTCCAGCTATAGTGACTGGCACAGGGGCACCCAAGAAATACTCTAAACTGTTGAGTAATAAATGATGAGTGACTTTTTTGAGAGAAGTTATTAATTTCATAAACATTATAGTTATGGACTTAAAGATGAGAGGAGATATATACAGTGAAAAGTAAGTCTCCTATGCCTTACCCTCAGCTCCCATTGTTTTACTCTAAAAATGGTGTATGTATATACAAACATGTGTCTCTAAAAAATAGCGCACTGTCCTATACGTGGGTATTTAAGCCGTTGCTTATTTTGGAGATCATTCTTCATCATTACACATATTATATATTGACATATACATATATTATACATTAATATATACTGACCAACCATGATCTCTTTTATATATAGCATAAATAGCAATGTATAGGACTGTGTGTACACTATTTTTAAGGGTGTGTGTATGTGTAGACACATATATATACTAATACTTAACCTTTTTTCCTGGCTGATGGTTGAGTTTCAAGTCAATATTTGACTGTGATTTTTTTTCTTTTCCAGTGCCCACTGTTGATGTCTTTCAGATTTCCACAAAAGAACGATTTGGATTGGGACATCAGCTAAAAAAGTGAGTTTGCCAAAATGGATAAAAGTAAATTTCTGTTAAACAGAACTGAGTTATTGTTTTGCTTTCTTTTAAAAAATGTTTATTTTATAAGAGCTTTTTGAAGCGAGTGCCTCAGGAGAGGAAATCATCCTGGTGTTAGGAGCTGCACTGATAGTTTAGTTACCAGAGCTCACTTACCTGCCTGGGCCAGGGTCCTATTTGTTACCCTAGATCCACTGCCTTCCCACCAATACCCGGCACCCCACCTGGAGGGACTGGCCTGTGTGGACGCAGATTCCTGTGTCTCTGTGCTCCGAATGTGACAAGCAAAGGGAAGAGGAGAGTAAGATGGGAGTACTGTTGCCCGGGTTTCCTCCCTAGGAGGTCATTTTGAGCTGACTAGTCCTTCAGCTGAAGCTTCCCGTTCTGCCCCAGGCTGCAGCCTTTGCAAGACTTTCTTACTAGGTTCTATCAATGGTTCTGCCTGCCTGTTCCTTGGGATCTAGAGGTGGTAAGAGTTTAGCAGCTACTAGCCTTGGGCTACTGAACTATCCCTACTTCCCGTGTCTATACTTTTGAAACACTCCTTTTGTAAATAAACTCTTTATTTCCTGTTTGGACCCTGACTCACTCATACAATGACTTGGCTTATCTCTTATAAATGGACTTGGTTCTTTAAAAATATAATATATACATAATTAATTTGAATAGGCAGATACATTCTTCTATATGTCATTATTAGCTCATATGACATTGCATTTATGTAGTCACTAGGATTCTGGCATACTATGGTATTTTTAATAGACTTGAAATAGAAATAAATGATAATAGGTTTTGAGCATCAGGAAAAGATGAATGCTGCTCTTGTGTATTGCCTCATAAAATCTCACAAAGGCTTATTGATAGTTTTTCCACTGTTCAACTCTAATTTGCTTTTGTTTTCTGGTCTTAAAATCTATTTTATATAAAAATCCATTTTTTAAAGACAGAAAAAGTAAACACTGATAGGCTAGCCAGATACAGTGGCAGCAGAAAGAAATGGCATCTTAGAGTAGAAAAAGAACACCGATAAATTATGAACACAAAAATTCCCTTTAAACTTTTTCTAAAATCAAATGATCACTGTTGTGATCCAAGGCATAGACCTTTGAGGCCCATTGGCCTGTGGTTTGGTATGGATCCAGAGTGCTTACCATGGTTTTCCCTGAAGAAAATAATGATGCTGCCCTCGTGTTTCCCTTTGGTGACCTTCCATGCAGAGGGAATATGGTTTTCTCTTTAGATACAGAGTCTAGATGGGCCTCGACCTTTCATAAGAGGACATAAAACTACCCCCATTGAACTGACTTTTAAAACGTAGGCACATACCTCAATTAGCCAAGGTCAGAACATAGATAGTAAATTCTATAGTTATTAAAATATCTGCTTTAAGAATTTGTATTTATGGAGAATCCAAAAAAATTATTTATTCTTCTGAATCTGCAAATTTAACTTAAATGTAAATTTATCAAGAGAGACCATTAGAGAACTGTATACTTAAACACAGGTGTTAGGCCCTTCATAATGATGCAGTCTACATGTTCACTTTTATTTTAATGAATTTTAATTTGGCATCATATTTTGGTCTATTGAGCAATGGTGTAAGAGAAAACACGCTGAAGATATCTATTTCATTTACTAAGTAAAGAACTTATTGAGGTCATTTTGTGTGATGTAGGAAGCCTCATATGTGATACCTAGGGTTGTACATGTCATGGAGTTCCAGAATTGTTTCAAGTTTTTATGGCTTTAAATTGAATCGGCATTGCTCATATATGAGTTGCGCATAGACCACATTTGAAAGAAACAAAATTCTTGTAAATCCCCAGTGTTGAATTTAAAGATGTGCAAATATGAAATTAGGTAATAAACCCTTAGTGTTTAGAATTCTTGCTCTCTAAAGCTAAATTTAATTTATAGTGTATGTTTAGCATAGTATATTATGCACTGTTTTCTTATGAGGACTCACAGGAGAAATTTTCTCAGTTTTCCATTCTAATATTAGGTCAGCTTTTCCAATGCAGTTAGTTTTATTTTTTTGATTGGATTTTATTTCCTGCATCGAGCCCGTATCTTAACAAGTCTTGAAGATGATCATGGAACCTGCCTCTATATTATGCCATGCAAGTTGGGTACCACCTGACCTTGCCACATTTTTTTCCTGCGATTTTCCCCTCACCAATTTCCTCCCTTGATTTTAAGTTGTTTTCCTTTATGTACTTTTGTATGCCACTTAAGAACTTTTTAAAAAAAATTGTGGTGGGGTTAATCAAAACAAGATAAGAATTACAAAAGCAAAAAAGTCTTGGAATAAATAGCTTTCTATTCATAATAGCTTCTAAGTACATTATATGGGCTCAGAAAAAGAAACTATGTATATAATTGCGACCCTGACAAATTAAAGAAAGCTGTGCTGTGTTCACTAAGTACCAAGTAGAATATGTAGTAGATTTAATTAATATTCCCATTCAAATGATTAATGTTTTCAAAAAGTTACTTGCTTTTGGGGATAAATTTTAGCTCTATGGAAAGTTTGTTAATGTGGACTAGAATCTTTTTTAGATGATCCTGATATATTTAAGTTTCCTTAATTATAATTAGATTTGGCTGTGATCCTTAAGGTTCTTTCTGGTCTAAAATTACAGAATTTTAAAAATCCTGTCTCATCCTCTCAATAATTTATAAGAATAAACTGAAATATAAAGAGGTTATTTTCCCAGAAACATACAGCAAGTTAGGAAAGCAAGTTTAGAATCTAGGCCCTTAGTTATTGCTTAGGTGTGTTTTTAGTAAATAAGAGACACTCATTTATCTTTTATTCTGGTGTGTTTTGGGTGGGAGAGTGGTCTTAACAACAATAGCAGCAGCAAATGCTTATGCAGCACTTATTATATGTCAGCCACTTAGAAAAGTGCTCAACCTGTATTATGTCACTTAATCTTTACAACAACCCTATTAAGCAAGTATTGTTATTATCACATTTCCTAGATAATGAAACTGAGGCCCAGAGAGGTCAAACAACTTGTTTAAGGTCACATAGCAAGAAAATCATAGAGCCAGAATTTGACTGCAGGTCGACAATTTTGATCTGCACACTGATCTTCCTTTCATATAATCCTAGATATCTTTTTTCTTGATATCATATATGAAATGTATGTTTGACATTGAATGAATATTCAGAGAATGTGAAGTCAAAAGAGTCTAAAAGAAAAATTACTTCCATATTTTCTTATAGCTGACCTGAAACGGATGCAATCATCAGTATCATACAGAGTATCTGTCATTCAAAGGTTGAGCATATCGTACATAGACAATGGAAATAATCTTGAACTTCATATGGTTTTATGCTGAGTTTGCATAGCTCAAACTTGTGTTTAAAGGGGGGAATATATCACAAATCTCTAGTGTTTCCTTCAATACGTACAACATAAAATTAGGCATCAATTTTTCATATGTAGTGTTCTACACTTAGAAAACCAAATTCAATTTACAACTTAAGTGCAAATCAAATAAAACACTCAAAATTCAAATTAATACCATTAATTCAATCTGATGGATAATGTTGTTTTGCTGAAACTGTTTCACCCCCACAGTTTGAACATAATACTGGCTTCTCTAGCGCATCGTTCTTTTAAAATTAGCATGAAGAAAATCATGATGTCATTCATATGTATTTGACTTTCTCTATTTAAACTACCCTGAAACCTTTATTTGCATAGCTGGTTGTGACATCGTCTGCTCTTCACTTGGTGCTAATGTATAGTTTAGCTTGAAATCTTATTTTTCTTCTTTTTATCATCAGCCAGCGGCAATGGTAATAGTTCTCCGCACCAGCACAGTAGTAAACACAACTCAAATGTGAATACTGACATTTCTTAGTGGCTGTATGACGAGGAGGTACTTGTTATACTAAATGTGCTCATATGTATTCTTTAGATTACTACTGAAATTAAACACATTAAATGTCCTATAAGGTAATTCCTTTTGAATCCAAGAATGTCTAGCAATCTGTGTATCCAAGTTGTTGGATTACTGATTACTGATTTTAGATGTTGAAAGTCAGATTTTAGAATGCTAATGTAATATGACAGAGGGAAAAATTTTCCCATTTTGACCTGTTACGGTTAGTTTTTTTGCTCCAATTAGCTTACCAAGATTAGGCAAACCCTTTCTTAGGAATGGTGCAATGGGATAGCAATTTTTTGTAGGAAGAAAATCTGACTCTGCTTGGTATGAATGGTGGTGTCAATGGGGATTTCAGATTAGGTACAGGGAGAAGTGATGATTCTAATAATATTACTACTTTTCAATCCTATTGAAATTATGGATGGAAAAAAACTTCGAACACAAATTATATAATAAAAAAATTCCCTTATCCTGAGCTCTGAGCAAATTTATTGCAAATTTGGAATCATGGCATCATTCATTACAGTTTTACTCCCTTTTTTCTCACCACTTCTGCTGCTAAAAGGATCCCAAATAATTCTGCATGTGACTGTTTCTTCTTCTGAACTCAACAAAACCAACAAAGAAAGGTTGGAGTAGTAAACCTAAGTGATATAATTTCTGGATATCTGAGTTAGTTTGTTAAGACCTGAACGGTCTTGAAGAATTTTATAAGGAATTTAATAATTGGCCTCACGCTGAGAGTCACATCTGTTCCTTTTGAGTAACATACATTATACATGTGAAAACTCTTATTTGACAATAAACACACCCAACTCTTGTCCCTTTTATCCAGGCTAACTTGTGCAGATTTCGTCCTTATCTTATTTGTGAAATGTGTGGGATAATCGCTACCTGCTGAGGGTGCTCTGAAAATTAAAGAGAAAAATGTATATGTATTAATAATGTTCCTATTTGCTCTCTGACATATTGTAACTAGTAAACAAATGGTAGTTACATTTTCCTATAAAGAAGCAATCTGTGTTAGAAATAACTGAAAAAAGCATGAAAAACAGGCAGTGCTGAAGTGATTTTTGAAAGAAAACCAAAATGTTTAATTTATTGCACACCTTTAATATTTAATTGTAAAATTTTATATCTACTTAAATATCGGTGTGGGGGACCTACATCCACTGCCGCTTTTAAGGTGGGATACAGAAAAGCCATCCCAGCCTGACCTGTCTCAGAAAACAGTGCTGTGTTGAAGTTCACAGTTGACTTTCCGGAATTCTTTACCATAAAGCACTGATGAAGTAATCTTGACATAGAAAATCTTGAGATTAAGAGTTACCAAATTCTTGACTTATGATAGTAACTAAAAATTGTAAGAATATCCAAATTTTAAAAAAAATAGCATATTTAAAGGTAGGTGGGCTGTACTGAAGGTACAATTTGCTGACCACATATTTCTACTTGGAGCCAATTTTGCATGTTTGTTTTTATGTGTAATTTTACAGTTTTATTTTGCTTTCCTTTCCATGAAGAAAAATACAGAAGCAAATCAAGTAAAAAGAAATTGGTTGGCTTTACTTGTATCTTAGTAAATAACATCAGTCAGTAACACAATTTTTTAAAAAATCGTATTTCCAGGATGAACAAAAGAATGCAGAATTGTTTTTGCCACTCCAGCTAAAGTTGTTGATCCTGAAGGCTGTCCTTATAATTCTCTTTGTATCTTTGCTCTTCTGTCACTTCTTCTGTCATTAGGATTATTAATTATATCAAGTTATATTATAATTTAACTATGTTAATAATTAGTAATTATTATCATTTACTGTGACATAATTAGTCACAGTAAAGGCCTGGTAATTTGATATATGATGCTTTCCTTCAGATGAAAAATCTTGTATGATTCTTAATTAGCATCTCACTGACTACTGTGTGTTTGTTTTCCTTTGATAAATGCATTCTCTACATAATAAATACAGAAATATTTGTTGAAATTACTTTGGAACTGTGATAACAGAATTACTTTTGGGTTGACAGAATCATGCAGACATTTGTTACACAACAGTGGAAACAGAGCAAAGAAAAATCCAATTGCCTGCACAATAAAAAGTTGTCAGAGAAGAAAGTGAAGTCTCCCCTGCATTTATTTTCTACTTTGCGCAGGTTGGTAACAGGCAACTTCATCATTGTCTTACCAAATGCTGAGCATGGATACTCCATGCTTTGAGCATTCTTTCTGTAATCTGGGCATCTGTTTATTTGCTTTGTGACTTCAAAGAAAGCACTGATTTACATGTATTCCATCAAAAATACATATATTCATCACTATGTTTAGAGTTTTTATTTCTTTAACATTGGTTGAATTTACTAAAACTACATTCTTTGTTTCCTAATCACATAGAGTTTTCTCTATAAAATTAGTTCCCTATAGGGTTCTGGGATAGATAGGAGGAGGGAAAAAAATCTTAGAATTTTTTTTTTTTTTTCCGTCTTTGCTTTTCAAGAAAAATGGGATTCAAGTCCCATGATCATTCTGCAGATACATTTGATTTCAGGCTGTATTAAAATGAGGTGGTAAAATATTACAGCACAGTTGAGTTTCAGCTTGACAAGTGTTCTCTGTGGTATGTTTTATCCATGATTTGCCGTGTATTAATCGTTGTTCCATTTTGAAGGTCGCCAAGTTATCCTCCCCCTGGTTGTGGTAAAAGCAAATCCAAACTGAAATCCGAGCAAGATGGAATCTCTAAAACACATAAGCTGTTACGGAGGACTTGTTCCAGCACAGTCAAGACTGATGACATGTGCGCCACAAAGTCACACAGGACCTTTGGTCGCTCCCTGTCCAGCGATCCCAGGGCTGAGCAGGCGATGACAACAATTAAATCACACAAACTCTTGAACCGTTCCTGCCCTGCAGCCGTTAAGCAAGAGGACTGCCTCACTCTAAAGTCGCATAAACTATTGACTCGATCTTGTTCTGGAGATCCACGATGTGAGCACAACACCAACCTAAAGCCCCACAAACTGTTAAGCAGGTCTTACTCCAGTAATCTCAGAATGGAAGAATTATATGGACTGAAAAATCACAAATTGCTTAGCAAGTCCTACTCCAGTGCCCCCAAGTCATCCAAAACTGAGCTTTTCAAGGAACCTAACGCGGAGAGCAGGAGGCTCTCTCTTACCTCAGGGCTTATTGGTATCTTAACACCATCTTCATCTTCATCTTCCCAGACTGCTGTGCGTAAATATTTTCATCTTGAGTTCTTAAATGTTAGCTAAGGTGCAGTAGAATTTGTTTTTTTTGTTTTTTTTTTTTTGGTAAGATCTGGTGGAAGAAAGAAGCAAAACTTTTTTTGTTTGTTATTTGTTTTAATCTACTGCTTTTTTCTTTTTTGATATTGTTTTGCATACCAGATATTTGCAAGTGGCACTGAAATGTCAGTTTTGATTCTGAAAAAATAAACGTAGCTATTTATTGGAGGTCCAGTCCAAATTCCTATCACAGTAATAAATGCTCCTAAAAATGAAAGGAAGTCAATTGGATTCACAAAGCCTTTCCTTCTAAGCAAGCATGTAATTTTAATGTTTTATTAAGCAGGTTGATCTAATCTCTGGTTTTCTCACATGAGTAGTAGGAGGACCATGTTTTTCTTGCAATTAAATTAAGGGTCATCTTCCAGTTATACATAAGAGGAGAATTTTGGCCATGCATATTATTACCTGTGGAAAGAAGCAGCTTTTACAGCTATTTCCCAGAGCCTCACTTGAAATTGTTCTTAGTGTCCATTTTATATAGAAGCTGTTTTTTGGAAACATATGGGGGCCAGGAGCTGACTGTATTAATAACTAAGTCCTTTTGGTGATATTTATTCGAAATCAGTCTTACACAAAATTTACCAATAGAGTGATTGACATTATAGCCAATTTCAGGTGAAGAAATAGGCCTTTTTCTGTATATTATTTGCATATTGAAAATAATTGCTACAAAGTTTTGTTTCCTTTTACTAAATGTGTGTGTGTATGTTGGAGGTGCGTATTTACCTCTAACCATTCATGTGGATACACCCAGCAACAGATGAAATTGAAAAAAATAAGATACTGCTTTCAGACAGTATTGTTATTCTTATATAGATTTATTTCTATAATTAAAATGTAAATTGTACTGTAAAATTATATTTATTTTACAAAAATTTGAGTATGTTGATAATTTTTATGTGAATATCATACATATTCAAAGATAAGCTTTAAGGACATGGAGAAAATAATGTTGAACAACTACATGGTGGAATGTTCTCCAAGAAAGATAATTTCAGATATTTTGTGAAAGAGTCTTATGTGTCTTAATGTCCTCTCATATGACTGGGCATAATATTTAATACATATTTTGGTGTTGTGCCACTTTCAGTACCTGCCTAATATTTTCTTGGAGGAATAATTGCATCTGATTGTAAAATAAGATTGAAGTACTCTAATGAAGAGGAATGAGCATTTGCCGATGAGTAATGAGGAAACAAGTTTTTGTGTTAATGTAAAGATGACAATCATTTTTACTAGAGGATCAGAAATGAAGAATGCTATTTATTTGGTATAGGCAAAGATTGCAGTAGTAATGGCGGAAAGGGTATTTATAATAGAGTGAATAAAGAAATTCTAAAATATCAATGTCATAATCAGTGACTTAATTCATTTTTCATAAGATCTTAGAAAGATCACTTTTGTATTCACTGTTGCAAAAAGTAAAAGCCTGTAATTTATACATATTTCAAATTAAAAAGTTATTTTGTTTTTTTACTTTGCTTTTTATAGCCAAATGGTGCAAAATGCATTCCAATACGAGACCGTGGCTTCCTAGTGCAGGTATGAGCCCAGACTCCATCCATTGTAGAAATATTTTCGAATCATTTATGAGTTCGACTGAATACTTTCTCCTTATTGTTTTATTCAGACAATTGAGTTTGCTGAACAGCGGATCCCTGTATTGAATGAATACTGTGTGGTTTGTGACGAGCCACACGTGTTTCAAAATGGCCCTATGCTTAGGGTAAGTTCTTGTTGATGGAATGTTAGTGTTGATTTAGAATATAAATAAAAAGTTTTGAAATATAAAAATAAGTAAGTAGGTCGGGCGCGCTGGCTCACT